CTTTTGTGCTGGGTCCATTTATGCTGCTCAACTCCAATCATAACTGATAGAGTGGCAAAAAAAGGTGTGCAGGTGGGCATATATTCATGAAAGACCACAAGACTGGGAAATAATTTAGTTCTCATATTTTATAGAATAACCAGAGGCCATCTTCGTAGTCATTCCTGTCGTAATCATTTCCCAATTGGATGAAGACACTCTACACGGGGCTATTCTTGAAGGCCACCCGGAAGCTACAACTGGTTTAGAGCATGCTGTGATTTGCATATGTTACACTGCTGTTACACAAGCTGCACTGGCTTCCATTTGCTTTCTGGGCACAGTTCAAAGTGCTGATTTTCACCCCTCTCAAAGCTCTACGTAGCACAGTAACTGATTATTTGTCAAATGGCCTCTGCTTGAGGATATCTGTCCATCGCACTAGGTTAGACTCCCTTTCTTCAAATTTTTTATCTACTGGGTCTGGGAGGCATGCCTTCTCTACCCTGGCCCTTTGGTATAGCTTTCCAGCTGAAATTTTGCTTGGTTAGGTTTGCTATGAGCCCCACAGGATCAGTGTGTGTTTTAAGCAGCAATATACAGTAAGTTCTTTAAATAAAGAAAGAAGTGTAAGAATGGTAAAACAATTGTATAGAGCAGTGGTTCTCAACCTTTTTAATGCCGCAACCCCAACCGGTCGTAAGTTGAGGACTAAACCGGTCGTAAGTTGAGGACTAAACCGGTCGTAAGTCGAGGACTACCCAACCGGTCGTAAGTCAAGGACTTTCCCTGCCCGGGAGTGCCGCGCATGCGTGGTTCCGCCCCCTGCGCCAGCCGAGGCGTAGCTGGCAAGCGGCAGAGACGGAGCAGGCCGACCACCAGCTGACCCAGCTCAAGGGAGGTAAGGCACCCGCCGGAAAAGGGAAAAAAAAGGCGGACAGCCTTGCTTGGCGGCCCCCGTGAAATGGTCGATCGACCCCAAATGGGGTCGCGACCCATAGGTTGAGAACCGCTGGTATAGAGGAAGGAGTTTTTCCAGGTGAGCCCCGAGAGGCATATTCGATATGGAGAAGTAGACTGGAAATAGAATTATTAGATCGCATCATATCAACTGCAGTTTATGGAATACTAATGTAAATATTATTTTAAGAGCAATAACAGCCTAACAAACCTTCTTGAGCTAGCAGAAGAAAGACAATCAAAAGAAAATGGTGATAAAGAGAAGCTGTGATGGAGTCCCCCTCTTTCTTGGGCGCCAACTGCCTCTGAAGTTGCTCTGTTTTGGAAACTACTTTTCAACTATCAGCTAAGGAGAGCTAGGAAGCCCAACAGAAGGTGCTTTGTGTTGCCTGCCAGCATGTCTGAGGGTTTTCAAAACCTGGCAAAGTAGCCTGTCAGAGATTTGCCTCCAGTCCCTCTGTCGCTCTTCTCAGAGACTTCAGTCCTTTCATAAGCTGATGGCCAGCCCCAGGTGGGCTAAACTTTTGTTCCTGTGAGAATATGAGAACTCTTGGGGCAGTATTTGTGGATGTTAAGGATAAACACTCATCTTGCTTACTGATGAAGTGAGATGATTAATTTCCCTTCTACTTAAAGCCTTGTGGCCTTTAAAAAAATTACTGGCCTAGAAAAGTTCAGCAACTGAATAAATGAGAAGAACCCCACTCCACCTGCCAAGTTCCTTAGCTAATTGTTTTCCCCTCAATATTTTTCTTGTCAATGCAGCACAGTTGGTATTATCAACCCTCTGCTCTGAGCAGCAGGTCAGAATTTTTCTGGAGGTTAAGTTTTGGAATTTATGAAGAATTGGTAAACTTTTAAAAACATGAATGCTGGGTTATTCCAGTAAGCAAAATAAAATGCAGAATCTTGTCTGAACTAGCAGTACTAATGACCTCATATATTCCTGCTTACAGTTTTCCTGCAAAAAAGTAGATGATGCTATTTTCCATCCATAATTGGAATCTTCCAAATTTGTGCCCAAAAGTCTAATTAGGAAAGAGAAGACAGGATTCCTTTTGTAATTGCTTTCCTTTTTTTTTCAGATTTAGTTGTGGGCCTTCTGCACCCCACTGCATTAAATTTAGCCCATTTCCCTAACGGCCTTCTTTTCCTGCTGCAGCTGCCTTTTCTGTTGCTCTTCTCACTTTCTTCTGCTCATGCACAAGAGCAAGGATGCTGCCTGTACAGCACATGCTAGGTGCTTTTCTCAATTCTGGTCCAAATGCAACTGTGCACTTGAAAGGGACAGAGGCAGCTCTACTTACAGCCAGAGATTTAAAGCACTCGGCCTGTTTAGCATCTAAAAAAATAATTAAGGACTAACTTGGTTATGGTGAGCAAAGCAAAAGTGCTAATAGCTCTTTATGGGAAATGACAATAGCAATACCAAAGGGCTGGAAATTAAACCTACCCAGATGTACCTAAGAAATAAGACATATTCTTTTACTATGAGAGTAACAAAACATTATCATAGCTTGCAAGAGACTGGGAAGTGACCGTCTTTCAAATAGTACTAGATGCAGGCTCAAAGGTTGTCTACATTTGGCCTGCTGTGACTTTAGATTAACCCAGGATCCAATCTAGACATAATTGCTTGACATTCCCAAGGCTGATGCTAATATCATCTTCCAACCCATGATTTCAAGCTGGACTTTTCTGTCTTTATTCAGGACCCTATTGTCCACTGAAGATACACGAAGCAATATATTTACAGTGTTTGTGTATGTCTCTCTCTGTGAGTGTGTCTGTGTTCATGACTTTGTGTGTGTGTGTGTGTAGTTCAGGGGTCAGGTGGGGGGATGGCACATACTGAAAATTTGAGTATAGCTAAGCAAAGCCCAGAAAACGTGCAACCTGTCCCTATTCATCAGTGCTGATTGTCCATGTTGGGAAGGAGGGTGCTCAACTCTCTGGAGCAGGAAATCAGTAATCCAAGCAGCTCCACACTTTGTTTTATTGCCATGGTAGTGCTGCTGCCTGATAGTTAGGAGCAGAAAATGTGAAGCACTGCTTGAATTTATAACCCTTTTTTAAAAAAGGAATTCTGTAGTAATCAGAAAAGGCTTGCCTTAAATTTCCACCTGTAAAATCTAAGATAAGATATTGTTTTGATTTCTTACATGTATATGCATGTGAATTCACAGTGAAGTTTTTATTTATTTGTTATTGGTCATGTTTCCCCAGTTGTAATCTTTCCAGTGGATTCCAGTCCTATGAATGTCTACTTAGAAATATCTCCAATAACATTTGTTGGAATTTACTCATCCGTAGAAGAATTGAATTGCAGCTCAAATCGTCTGAAGAAATTTTCTAAATGTGATACTGGTATTCCACAATTACTTTCTGTCTATCTCTGTTCCCATTCCCTTTGTCACAGTCTTTTTTTTTTACCAATGGGCCCTGTGACCTGAAATGTCATAGAAAAGGATATGCCTGGAAATGATAACTTTGCTGAATTTCTAAAATAATGAACTAAATCATGAACTTGGCTTCATGAAAAACATGGAGTAGTATTTTGCTTATTGTTAGCAGCTTTTTGATAAATATCAAAGTATGATATTGACAATTGTAAGTGAATCATTGACAGTACTGAATAAACAAATAAGGTTTATCTTCTGTTCCACTAAAAAAAAAACATTTGGACTTCCTTTAATCTACAGTGTAGTTGAAGAGCACTGATCACATTATCTATTCATGCTATCAATCAATCAATCAGTCAGAATCAGAGTTGGAAGGGATGTTGGAGGTCTTCTAGTCCAGCCACCTGCTCAAGCAGGAGACCCTATACCATTTCAGACAAGTGACTGTCCAGTCTCTTCTTAAAAAGCTTCAGTGATGAAGCACCTACAACTTCTGAAGGCAAGGCATCCCACTGGTTAACTGTCCTCACTCTTAGGAAGTTTCTCCTTAATTTCAGGTTGCTTCTCTCCTTGATTAGTTTCCATCCATTGTTTCTTGTCCTGCCCTCTGGAAAATAGGTTGACCCCCTCTTCTTTGTGGTATCTTTCTTTCTGACCTTTTCTAATAATATTCTTAATGAAATGAAGACAGAAAAAGTATCTGAGATTGTGCGTATGTATGTGTGTGGCAGAAGTGGAAATAGAACTATTTGATCGGGGTAAAAACTGACCTGTTTGATCAGCGATAAAACAATAGTACTTTCCTAAAAGGCTGGAAACCTTTTATGGGCTTTTTGCTGAAAATGGAAACAGTGATTTCTGGATTTGTTAATAAAAAGGGTTGAATATGGGACAGAAGGGAACTATGTAAAGTAATTTTACAGAGGGAGGAAGGATATTGACTGTGTTTATAACTGTTACAAAGAAGATTCAAAGTCCCTTTTTAATTTTCTTTTTCTATCTGTATTGCTTTCTACCCTTTTTCTTTTTATCTTCTCTCTTTTTCTTAACTTTTCTTTATACAATGTACTAGAGTTGTGACATGCAGCAAAGTCATCTGTGAATAGTTGAATATTGCTCAATAGTTTAGGACATATCAGAGAGAAACTCATCTTGTCTCACTTCATGGTACTCTCAATTTAGCAGAAACATTGGAGAATATGTACCAGCAGAGGGCTATATATGACATAGTTCTCGTTATAGAATAATTGTAGCTCATATTCCTTTGGCTAAGAGAGATGAAATATTATATGCAAGTTCATCATATCAAAATGTATAAACCAGTCTTACTCTATTGAACACCTTTCAGGTAGACATTTCCAACACTGGCAAGGAACTCTAAGATGATGTCCCAAAATAGTTAGGACATGCCAAAATGATGAGTTCTGTTGTATAGCACTATCTTTATACCTTCCCCAAGCTGGGTATATTCTGCTCCCCTATGCCAAGCTTTATTTTGTGACAACAAATACCAGATATTGATTTTTCTCTCTCTTTTTTTTCTCTCTCTCTCTCCCTCCCCCCCTCTGCTGATACAGGACCTCTCAGTAGTCCAGCATCTGCTGCCTGTTTGAAAACTGTTTGCCAGAGAAGGGAAGGTACTGACTTCAAAAAGAAGAAATGAACTCTATGGAAATCCCCATCCAGACAGAGATGATAGACATTGTACCAAATGGAAAACATTCAGTATTAAATACCTCTTCCATGGGAAATGACAGGTGAGGTGATTTGCAAGGCCTGGCTTATCTGACTGACTCAGATTGCAGGATTGAGTTAATGCACTTGTCCTGGATGTAAGATTATCTTTTATAGTGAACGGGATTACTGTCACGTCACTCTCTGATCCACAAATGTTTGCCCATTACCACCCACTCACTCTTGTGCTGCTGTTTCCACTTCCGTTGTTTTAATCTGCCCTCTTCCCATGATTAGATAACGCTGCTGTTTCCTCCTGATCAATCCTGCCACCTAATTAGTAACCTGCAGATACCCCAAACATTTTCTGTTGAGTCTGATTCTTGGAGACTGCCTGAACAAGACTGCCTGTAATTTTCTTGGTAAGGTTTTTCAGAAGTGGTTTTGCCATTGCCTCCTTCCTACAGCTGAGATAAAATCCAGTTGGCTTTGTGCCTAAGGTGGACCTAGAACTTATGGTTTCTAGCCTGATGCCTTAACCACTGCACAAAACTGGCTCTTAACCCCAAACATACGAGTAAAAAAATCTCTCAAGTAAGTACAGAAATGTATATTCATTATTTAACACAAGATCAAATAGAATAGAAGAATGAAACTAATTGATCTTAACATCTCAGCCCCATGACCTAATTTGTCCTACTAGGTTAGTACAGTGGTCCTCGAATTATGACCACAAAATTTATGTTGCTAAGTGACACTTTTTTTAAGTGAGCTTTGCCCCGTTTTATGATCTTTCTTGCCACAGTTGTTAAGTGAATCACTGCAGTTGTTATGTTAGTAACATGATTGTTAAGTGAATCTGGCTTCCCTATTGACTTTGCTTGTCAGAAGGTTGCAGAAGGGGATCAGCCATCATAAATATGAACCGGTTGTCAAGCATCTGGATTTTGATCATGTGACCATGAGGATGCTGCAATGGTCATAAGTATGAAAAACGTTCATGTCATTTTTTTCCAGTGCTATCGTAACTTTGAACGGTCACTAAACAAACTGCTGTGAGTTGCAGAGTACCTGTCATTTCTGCTGCTATGACCTATTTTCCAGAGGTTACCTCATCTGATATCTTTCTCCTATCCCTTATGGGTGTCAAAGAGAGAAGGCTTTTATAACCTGTGCTGTCTTTTTGGTGATTACAAGATCAAAAATGCAAACGCTGAAATCATTTCTATATTGCAACTTTCTGGCTATGTAGTTCAGGGGCCTATAATTTTGAGGTTTCGCCCTTTCTTCTCCATTTGAAGAGACAAACTAACATCAGAGATAAGTAACATAAAACATTATTAAAAGAAATGTGAAACTATACGTATCCCCTTTTTTAACTTTAAACATCCAGAATACCAGCATTTAGCAGTGAAAGAGATCAACTACACAGCTGTTGAAAATACTAGCTGTTGAAGACTAGCTGATTAAAACAGAAAATTTACAACAGATTGCACTGGACCACAAAACGTCATTTTCTGCTACAAATGAGTATTTCTGCCTGAATTTATAGAAAGATATTGGAAAAATGAGGTGAAATGGGCAGCAAACAAATCTAATAAATAAGTAACTAAATAAATAAAACTTTACACTGATTATTATCCATCAGACAAGATAAGTTATTCCTCTTGCTCAGTCTGAGAATATGTTTAAAATACTCAACTATACACAGTTATGTAGTGTGTATATTAGTGTGAGACTTTTGTACAGCATGATAAATAAAGATTCAACTTAACTCAATATTCTTAGCTAACCCTTTTGCCTATATTATGAGAGACAGCCATTTCGTGAAACAGTTCTGTTTTGTTTTACTAGTCTCCCCTCCGTTCCTCTCTGTGTCTCTGTGACAAAAGGACTTGACTCCTCATTGGCTATGCATCTCCTCATGTGTACTCTGCATGAGGGGAACCTTATGGGGAATGTCTGAGTTCTGCTGACTGGCAAAGGAAGAACATTCATAACAGCAATAAATCCTGATTTACCTAATCAATAGATGGACATAATGGAAGCTTTGGGACTTTCTATTTAGGCAGCTAATAAATGCAAATTTGTTTCTTATTGATTTCATGGTGCTTTCAAATTTGCAATCAGATACACAGCTGACAGGAATGCTACAGTTTTCCAGCACATGATCTTATTTTCCTCCAGATCATACTTTTATTGCCTCTCTCTATAACTTTCAAGAAACATAGGCTAAAGTCTATGTTTAGAGTTAACTGCTAGTTTTTGAAGCATTTATTAAGAACAAGCACTTCTTCTGGCACTATTTTATATGGTAATAGGAAGTAGTAAACTTTTTAGTTTTTTTAAGAAAATTAATAGGACATATTCCTGTAATCACAGGAAGCTGAGTTCATTATATCAAATATGTTCTTAGTAAATGTAGTGCTGTACAAGTCAGCATGGCATCCCTTGCTCTTTGAAAAGCAAAAATGTATTTGAAAAAATGGTTTTTTAAGGCTGATTCATTCTATTCTTTCATCATATTTGAAGCTATTTTCACAAATGATATTGCCCTCTGGAAAATAAGAAGGAACTTTGGGAATACATAGCAAAAGTTAGAATAGGAAGGGGTTAGACTCTGTGTGAAAAGACTCCTCAATAAAATTATTTCTTTTCAGTATGTCTAAGAAGCAGACCCTAAGGAAAGGAGAGATAACTCTGTAATAACAATAACAATAACAATAACAATAACAACAACAACAACAACAACAACAACAACAATAATAATAATAATAATAATAATAATAATAATATACACAGATGGAATAGTGGACTGGACTCAAGCAGAACTAAAAGCAATGGATAGGAAGACCAGAAAAATAATGACAATGAATCATGCCCTTCATCCATGCAGTGACATTGACAGACTTTATCTACCAAGGCAAATAGATGGGCGTGAAATGCTGCAAGTACATCAGATGAAGAAAAAATGGCTTTGGAAGAATATCTGAAGGACAGTGATGAAGATGCACTGAAATTAATATATCAGGAAGGCTTACTGGCTACTGGAGAGACCAAACTGGCCTACAAGAAAGACCAAATGAAGAACAGAATAGAGGCATGGGAAGACAAAGCACTACATGGCCAGTACATTAAAAAAAATAACTGGGAAAACAGATAATAACAAGACCTGGCAATGGCTAAGAGCAGGAAAATTGAAGAAAGAGACTGAGGGACTAATTCTGGCTGCACAAGACCAAGCCTAAAGGACAAATGCATATAAAGTCAAAATTGAGAAGACAGCAACAGACAGTAAGTGCCACCTATGCAAACATGCTGAAGAAACAATGGACCACCTGGTAAGCTGCTGCAAGAAGATTGCACAGACTGACTACAAGCAGTGGCATGACAAAGTAGCAACAATGGTGCATTGGAAGATCTGCAAGAAATATCATTTGCCTGTAAGCAAGAACTGGGGGATTATAAAATAGAAAAAGTCATAGAAAATGATAAAGTTAAACTGCTCTGGGACTTCAGCATTCAAACAGACAAGCACCTGCAACATAACACTCTGGACTTAACGATTTTGTTTTTCGATAAGAAAAACAAAAAAGTCTGGATAGTGGATGTGGCAGTGCCTGGAGACAGCAGAATAGACGAGAAAGAACTGGAGAAGATAACAAAATACAAAGACCTACAAATAGAAATAGGAAGACTGTGGCAAAAGCAAGCAAGGGTAGTACCAATAGTAATAGGCGCCTTGGGTACAATCCCAAAACAACTGGAGCACCACTTGAACACCATTGGCATTGACAAATTCGCCATTAGTCAATTGCAAAAGGCGACCTTATTAGGAACTGCCTCCATCCTGCGACGATATCTGTAATAACATCAAACATCCACATCTGCCTATCCCAGGTCCTTGGTAAGGACTCGATTGGTAGACAAAATGCCAAATCCAGTCTGAACATCTGGTTGACTGTGTGATGATTAATAATAATAATAATAATAATAATAATAATAATAATAATAATAATAATAATAATAATAATAATAATAATAATAATAATAATAATAATAAAGTTGGAAGGGACCTTGGAGGTCATCGAGTCCAACCCCCTGCTCAGGCAGGAAACCCTATATCATTTCGGGCAAATGGCTGTCCAGTCTCTTCTTAAAAACTTCCAGTGTTGGAGCATTCACCGCTTCTGGAGGCAGGTTGTTCCACTGGTTAATTGTTCTAACTGTCAGGAAGTTTCTCCTTAGTTCTAGGTTACTTCTCTCCTGCAACACTATTACCACTGGTAGTAATCCCTTAAGCCAGAGTTGGGAAAGGGGGAATTTCTAAGAGAAGACTGCTTAAAGTTTTTTTTTCTCTCCCTATTATCTTGTGGCAGATTTGATGAAAACCAGGCAAATGTAACAGAGATGGAGGAGTTTCTGCCACATGGTGCTGAAAAGAAACAGACCCATTTCACAGATGTAAGTTTTGGTATAATATTCTGGGTTGATGGTTGCAATTTGGATATTCATTGATAACTAAGTCATACATCTCCAGGGAAACTATTAATAGAAAAGATGGAAGACCAGTGCATATTTTGCAGGTGGTCTGGACAACAGCCCTACAAATCCATTCCCAAAAAAAAGTAAGAAAGAAAAAAGGATACAATCTTTGGTTGTGTCCTTCTAGTCTACAACAAATAGCCTCTGAACCCAAACCAGACTTTTGATGGTCTTTCCTCCTTGCTCTGCCCACCCAGATGTCAGGTCAGAGGCAAGGGAATCAGAATGGAAGGACATGTATCTATGATAACTCTAATATGAGAAAGATTGCTCTCAAGCCCTGGGCTGAGAGAGGGGATAGGTAAAAAAAGAGTTCACCTTTCTCAGTAGCCAGCAGAAAAAGAAATTGCAGTACAATTTTAGGGAGTCTGGGAAGTTCACCTGGACTTTAGTCCAGAGGGAACAGGATTTCAGAGCAGATGTTGCATAGGGGTGCCCTCTTCCTGAAGCTCATGTTAAGAAACATATGGGCAGCAAAAGATGAAAGATGGCTAGCATAGACCGTGCCCTACTCCTTTTTGACCGCGGGGTGGTGGGGGTGGTGAGGACAGTGCGTAGACACAGGGCAGAGAAGTGTTATGCTGGCATACAACTCTCTCTCAGATGCACACTCTTGTTTCTGTTTCAGTTTGAAGGGAAGACTTCTTTTGGGATGTCTGTTTTCAATCTCAGCAATGCCATCATGGGCAGTGGGATCCTTGGGCTGGCATATGCTATGGCCAACACTGGCATCCTCCTCTTTCTGTAAGTGCGGTGCTCATCATCAGAAGAGCTAGAGAGGGAGCCACCCTCTCCTTTCTCAGCCAGATACTCTCCACAAATTTGGGGATTCCCAATATGATGAAAGGTTATGCTGATTGTGGGGATTCTGGACACTCTGATCCTAAATCCCTGGAGGATCTGCACTGCTCTGATACCTATGGGTAGCTTGTGCAGTTCTCTGTTGGTTTACTCTATATACAGTATCCGTTTTCCAGGGAATTTTATACTGTCTGATAAAGCAGATTCTCGTGTTATTGTTCTGGTAGCTTTTCCTTGCCAGGGAGGATTATCATGTAGCCTTGTCTTGATTACTTGGGATACAGTGGATTTGTCCATTACTTTGGGGAATGTCAGAATGGATTTTTCCCCTCTATTTTATTCAAAGTCTGTTACACCAATGCCTTATTCTAATGAAATGGTACTCCAATCAATGTCCTGTTCATGTCATAAACTCAGAAACATAGCTACTAAACCAACACAGACAGAGTGGGACACACACAATTGCAATTGCAGCCCACAACTAAGATAACTTATGATTCAATGGCTCTGAGAATATACAAGCTGGTCAAATTATAAATACATCATTTTATGCTTCTTGCCTTTATAAGAAACTACTTAGCTTAGGGACAGACATGATGTTGGGTCATTTATTTACACGTTAATGAACAGAAAAGTTGGTAGAATTTGACCCTAAGCTAAGGTTATTGGCAAATGGAACTCCCATAATCAGAAAATCAGCTGAGCTGGGTGCACAGAAGCCTTGGGAAGGAAAAAGACAAAGGAGGTTTGTTAGGTTCCCATGATGTGGGAAGTTAAGGTGGGCTGGAGCAGGTTAGTCTGGGGACAAACAGAACTGTAGTCTATTGATGGTTTGGAGCGGGAGTTTATGCTAGAGAACACAAAGGATGCTCCTTTGCAATGAAGGGAGCCAGCAAGCCTCTGCTTGGAGAACAAGGCCTCCAGGAGCTCTCTGCCTTCCATATAACACTTAGCATGATCCCGAGTGACAAAAATGCCATATTAGGATGGCATAAATGGGGAGGAACAAGCAGGTGCCTGTGAACTGGAGGCAGAAAAGAACAGTGGAGGAAGGTGATCATTGCAAAAGATCTTTGAGGATGACTCCCATCATGAAATACTGTACGGATCTGCTCTATTTCATAGAATGTGTTACTTCATAGAATCCTTGCAGAAAGGGAAAGAGCTTTCCTAAACTGCATGGTTGCCAGCAGAATATAGCCACCTACTTTGCTTTGCCTCTACTAGTCACTTCCCTCTGGCATTTGCCTGAAGTAGAGTTGCTATTTCACCCTGTACAGTTAATGGGATGGAGGACAGGGCCAGCTCCTAATTAACTTGGATATCTCTTGCTATGTAAACGTTAGCTCATTCTTCTGTTTTTTTGTTAAGAGTCACCAGCCTCAACAGATTTCTTCTTGCTTGTATCAATTCCTTTCCCTACAGTATTTTTTACCTGGGTGTTAACCATCCTTATTGACCATACAAACCAAGGTGCAGGGCCAAAACGTCTGCAACCAACATGGGACCCAGGTCTAGGTCAGAGCTATTCATCACCCTCTTCCATTTTAAATCTACTCTCTGATCCAACTCAGACCGCTGGATTCATTAATGCTTCATGCATGCTTTTCCCCCCTAAGATTTCCTGTTCTTCCACTTGTCTGCACCCCGTGGACATCTGTATCATTTGCATCTTCACAGGGATGAGAATGACTGCATGTTGGGAGGAATGAACTGCTTTCAGTGAAGCGATCCGTTTTCTGCTTCCGAGGCTCCCTGGAGCTGATTTCTCATTTGATTTGAGCTTCTTGTTGGGAAGAGCAAAACATGGGCTCACAAGCCCTCCCAAGTTCTGGGAAGCGATTCAGCATCGTGTGGTACCCTGCAGAGAGCTTTGCTTTTGTTCCTCGGTTGCGTTCAGCCACAAAGTTCAGCTAGGGATAGTGCTGGCATGCCTGTCCTCAATCTGCCAAACCGCATTTCTTTCACCAGGAAAATTTCATGTCACTTTCAAAGCAAAAATGATCAAGCCCCCAGTTTTTCTAGAAGGCTTTCTTCTGGAGAACAGACGTATTCATTCCCCGTCCTTCCTGCTACTCTTATTTTTAGTGGCTGCTCGTACTTTTGGACTGTAAGCATCCCATAGAGTTGACTATCCTTTCTTTAGAACAACCCTGGAGTGTATTTGTCTGGAAACCTCCTGTGTTCTCACTTGGTGGCCCACAAGAGGACCACACTGTGAATCCTGTCCTGCAGGTTGTTCAGCCTGCAGTTGTCCCACTTCTACCTTTTCTATAGGCAACTCATGGAGAAATTCAAGAGTTTTATATTTCTGTGTTTGGGCAGAGTTATATTTCATAGGGGAATGTGACTTTTCATGCCAAACATTGCTTAATAGGTTTAGTAGGTCCATCTGCTTCTTAACTATTTTAGATGGGCTGGTTAAGACAGAGTAGTCTCAGAGATTCACTGAAAGAAAAATTGATCCAGAAACACTTTTCTCTGCCCTTGTAACATGCCAGTGTCTGGAAAGAAGGCTCTGCTATTTCAGTGGGGGCTGAAATTATAACTCTTTTCCTTGTGGTAGTTCAAACTTGGGACTGTGGATGTTCTTATACTACAGTTCTCATCACTCCGGCCATCAGCAATGATAGCTGGGTAGTAGACTTTATACTCAAATAATACTAAAGGCCCAAGGATAGGAGCAATTTTAGTCAAGAGCTGGCAGTTATGTGTCATTCCTGTTCAGTCTGGACCGGTGGCTCAGCAAGTGAAATGACACATGCAGGAAATTCTCTGGAGCTCTTTAGGCAAAGGTTTTTAGAAATGCAAATAAATTAGACTAAATCCATAGCAAAGATTGATTCAGAGAGCAGGACAAAAATAAAACCAGCAGTGATTCCATCATGGACAAGATTCAGAAGAAGCACTTGGGAAACTGGGAAGGGATAGGCATTAATGTGCTGGCCCTGCCTCTTTACAAAATTGGGTTGGAAACACAGACTTTGAAAGAGGGACAGGTGGGGGTTACTCCACACCTAGTCAGGTAATTTAGTTTGAGGTACTTTCCAGCAATTATGTTTTACATTAGGAATATCTGGAAGGAGGCATCAAAAATGTCCAGATGGTGCCTACAACAGTGTAATACAAGCCCATAAAGAAAGGGCGGGTCTTTGGTTTCATGGATGTGGCTACCATCTTGACTTTTCTGACCTCCACCTGTGGACACCTACTTTAAAGTAAGGCTGTTGTTAAATTTGCGCTATAATTGGAAGAATTCATTGTAGGTATGTTGAGTAATCGTACCCATCATTTTTAGCCTACTTGATGCCAGGATGGGAATGACTGATACAAAGTTAAGGGCATATCAAGACAGTTAAGTAGCCATGGTAGCAACATTTCTTTTTCTTTTATTTACTGCGTTTCTAATTACTTCCAAATTTGAATGAAAATCCTGGTATTTCAGATCTGACCTAGTGAATATTTAGCAACATATATTGTCATAAATGCATTTTTTCTTCATCTGCCTCTTTGGGCAACAATTCATTCCTTTTCATCTTTATGTGTGGTGATAGCAATGTGCCGGGTGGAGAGGAAGGATGTGAAACAGGATATTGGAAAATTTAATACACAGTAAACAATTCCAAAGCTTATCAAAACAGCATTGCTTCTTTCAGTATGATCATATTATATTCCAATCGTGTGATTACACTATCGAATCTGAATATAGCATAGGGGCATTATCTTCTGGAGCTCTTTTTAATTTTTTTCTCTTTTTGATAATGGAAACGTGTACTGAACTAGAATACAATTATTTGCATGTCATTTATTCATGGAGGTAGTTCTTGAAATGATGAATTCAATGATTGAAACAATAGTTCAGTCTTGAATGAACAAAACCTCTGTCCAGATGTAGGATAACTAATGCTGGGAGAGAATTAGTTCCCAGCTGATTGTGTGTTCAGTGCGTATCTGGGTTTTGCCCTATATTCTCCTGGCTTCCATTGCAATATATTATCCTCTAGGAAGAATTAATTCACCTTTTATAAATTAAATGGTTACATAACACACTCATATTAGAACAGTTCATAATATACCACTGCTGCAGCTTTGTATGCACCTCTTCAGGGGAGCCAGTACCTAATAGTTCTCATATCAATAGTATATTGATAGCCACATTCATGAAACCTAATAGTTCTCATATCAAGTTAATGCTCTTAGGAAACTGCACCTTCCTCACATCACCCTCAGTCTGTGAGTTTTATCAAGTAGGATGGAGTAAATAAAGTAATCAGATGGTAAAGCTATACTAAATCATATTTCTGGGCAATAAGTCCGCATTTGTTTCTCAATGTTTGGGTTTCTTTTTAAAGATCTGCACCATTTGTTAACCATAGAAACATATTTTGTTTCTTTATGGTTTTTCTCTTGAAAAACCTCATGTAGTCCAAATGTATGGGATTGCAATGACATTGACGTTGATTAGGGTGGTTGTGGATGGTGGAGTTGTAGTCCAACATCATCCAGGACAGGAATTTGAATTAGAAGAAAGCCACCTGGGTGCTTCATCTATGATCACTGATAGCTTTCATTCTGTAATGTCTAATTTAAAAACTCCAGATACCCCGTTCAGAAATTAGAGAATTGCTTTTGGAATTAGATAAAATTTGGGAAGTATTTCACAAAAAAGGAAAAGTAATCGAGATATGCTCCAGTTGTGGCTTCAGAAAACTATTAGAAGACCATACCCTCTCCTGCTGGACTTGTCCACTATGATGTAAAAGAAGTTGAGATTCCCTCTTAAATGTTTTTGTCCAATATTATCCCAGTTCTTTAATCATATAAATATCTTCTTTTTTCCCTAGATTCCTCTTGACTACTGTAGCTCTCTTGTCCAGCTATTCTATACACTTGCTGCTTAAATCCTCAGGGATTGTTGGTAAGTGTGATAAACCTGCTGAGAAATACACAGAGGGTTCAGTATACCCAGTTCTATGCTATACGATATGGCATCTGGCTGTGACTAAATTAATGTACTCGAAGATCAATTGAGGCTACATTTATTCTGTCTTGAATTCCATGATGGACAAAAGATGGAATAACTGCTAAATAAATAAATAGACTGTGGGGCAATTGCATCGATCCCCTCTCAGCAAACTCTGATCTGAGTACCTTTTCTATCTTCAGTCAGCTGTATCTCTACACGCTGTTATCTGGTAAGTCTATTCCTAAAGTTAGGGAACAAACAGCCCAGAGTCACATTGTAGGGTAGATAGGTGGCATAAAAAAAATGAATGAATTAAGATAATTAAAATAAACAAGAGGGGGTTGTTGGGGTATAATTGCCCAAATGATAGAGCTGGTTCAACTTCCTTAAATCTGACTTTGCTGGTGGTTTCACTTAATCTCATCCCAAAGGTTACATTTAGTCTTCAGCTGAACTGCTAGTACTCTTGCTAAATGCCTTGATTGTTTCTCCACTTAAGCAGTGGAGAGGAAAGAAATTTTCACTATAATGAAAACTGATCAAGACAGAGATTAACATAAATCTCTGTCAACTTTGTATGTTTTATTTTAGAAATGTAATTTGCGGGGGTTGCTGTGTATGTAAGAACAGCTGTTGTTTTTATTCCAATTACTTTTGTTCTGAGAAAAGGACCCAGCCCAAAACATTGTTCATTATGTCACTGAAATGCTGTGGTTTCATTCATATGTTATTTTCTTTTTGTTAATTTTTGATATCGTGTAGGAATCCGAGCCTATGAACAACTGGGTTACAGAGCCTTTGGGACACCAGGGAAATTGGCAGCTGCCCTTGCTATAACACTACAAAACATTGGAGGTAGGAAGAAACTTGTCATGATCACATCATCCTTTCTAAATACTGTAAAAGCCCTTTTACCTAGACTTCCAAGGTAAAAATGCATTCCTAAATAACTTTCCCTCTGTATCTTAAGAGGCCTCCATCCTCTGGTAACTTCTGTCTCTTTCTTCAGCCATGTCAAGCTACTTATACATTGTGAAGTCTGAACTGCCTCTAGTCATCCAGACCTTCCTCACCCTGGAGGAGAAAACACCGTAAGTGTCCCCATGTGGCTCTTTTCTACATTTTCTATACCTATATGCCATATTTACATTGTTCTGCCTAAGGAGGATATGATGTCACTATGGTGGGTGCCAATGGTGTTTATTGTCTGATACCCCAGCTCTTAGTCTTTTGCATGGTCAATGGAGACAAGGTGGTAGCTGTAAGCTGGGTGGTCAACCAGAGGGAAGAAGCAAAGCATAGAGGTCAGCTGGTTCATTACAAAACTACTTTTGGATTATTAGACCAGGCCCCAAAGAGAAATGGAGTGCGGGGAGAAATACTATTATAGAAATGCCTGAATCGTACTGTACTTTAAACCGTTGGGTGTGTTTCCTCACTTCTGCACTCTCAGACACCCATTTCTTCTCCTGTCTTTTTTCATGAGCTCTCCGCTCTCCCCACCTTCTCCTTCCCTGTGGCTTAGCTCCATTTAACATCTTTCTAGTAGTATAGAGATTTATCTCCTCTGGACAATCTGTTACAGGGATTTCACAGCATTAAGCCACTACTATTTTTGATGGACGCCAACGTTGAATAAACCCTCTGTGCAGGATTAAACCAAAGTGAACTTCCAATCCATGTGTGATGCTCCACTTCTTTTTGCCCTGGATGTATTAGTCAGATCTGTGTTTCTGCTTATGAGCTGGCTGGGCTTCAGGACGCCTTCTACCACCCTAGCAAACCGAAGGAAATCTTTCCCCTGGTGGAAAGGTTAGTTGAGGAAATTAGTATAGCAGTAGGCAGTGAGAGATCCTCTCCCTTGGATGTATGAATTGCCATCAGAGACCCAAAAATGTATCACTCTTCTTTAGGCCTGAGATGTGAAGAGGGGAAGGCCACCACTATGTTTGTTTCTTTCCTTCAGTGTGAAATGCATCCAAGAAATTCTTATAGGTGTTTTGTGTTATCAGCGGTCTGTTTATCTGGCATTAGTTCCAAGACTGGGCACTCGGAAAACATACATGGCCAGCATGATAGCAGAATAGAATATTTCATTATCATTGGAAAATCTTATTTAAAGAAGCAGATCACATGTTGACTGCAAAGAAGAAACTTGAAAATGGCAACTAGGTTCTTGTATTGCCCTAAACAATGATATGGTCAGTTTGCTTTGGCTTAGTCTGCGGTATGAACCCAACTATTGTGGGATCGTATCGTGATTTATGATGTGGTGCAATGTGTGCACTCAGTTATTGTAATGCACAGCGCATGTACCGAACAACTCTGAAAACAATGATATTTTAAGAGCACTATTGAGTAAGGGGTTTCATTTGGAAACAGATATATCTTTGGCAGGATTTGGACTGTCCCAAGTTGCAATGCTGGATACCACAAGCTCAGCAGAGGTATCAGCATGTACTTGGAGAAAAGTTGTGCTGGGTGACCTTTAATGATAGCCAATCTAAGAATCGGGCTAAAGGTCAAACTAGGACTTTTAAAATGGAAGAAGAGAGAGAATTTTGCTTCTGAGGAAACAGGATGGGTAAAATAGGTGGAGATTCAGCTTTGGTCAGTTTCTGGAACTCAACCTGAACAGGCTGCAAGAGTAAATTGGGGATAAGAGCAGCCTCCTTTTACAGCCTGCTTTGGTTCCTCTTGGACTGTCTCTTGTTACAAGAGGTCTTTGCATGGGCCAAGACTGAAGGAGTCGCCGTTCTGCCCTCTGACCTGCATCTTACAGTGCCATTCAAGACTAAAGACCCTGGGCTCACTTTCAAGGGACTCGGAGTCTGGCAGATCCTGATTCAGGGCAAGGATTTCTTTATACTCTGAAATTCTTATAACCAGTCCCCTCTCCCACTTCTTAAATATTTGTCTCTGCTTGCTTGAAATGTCTCTCATTTCTTTATGAGTTTCCACACCCACCCTTTTTAATCCCAAAGCTTTTCCCATAAAATAAAATAATTAATATAAAATTGCCTTCCAAAAATAATGTTCTTTCTTGGATTATGAAAATTAAGCCTGTTCATACCCAGATGTATCTGTCTTTAAATATTACATGAGTCATGGAGAATTCTGGTTTCCTGGCTTATAATGTTTCCTTTTCTTGTCCTTAGCCTCATGGAAAAATATGTGAGGTACTGAAATACTAAACAGAGCTTTTCCTTGTGTGCTTTTAGACTAGGCCTTGCCTTAGAGCTCTCTTTGGAAGGAAACTTGGTAAGATTTCCTTAGATTTGGATTAAAATTTCAAGGGCTCAGGTTAGAGACAAATGGGAAGAGAGAGAGAGAGAGAGAGACAGACAGACAGACAGACAGACAGACAGAGCTCTCTCAGAAATATAGGAAGCACCATAATTCAGTGGCTGAGTTCCATACAGTGTGTGCTAAAGGTTCAAGATTCAGTCCTGTTTTTCCAAGCTGGGCTGGCAAAACTCAGCCTAAATTTGAAAAGCTGATGTCAGTAATTTTGTTTTAATTAATAGAGTGGTCTGACTGATTAGATCCATATAGGAAGACTACTGTCTCAGAGTATTGCAGCCAGAGTCTACTAGTCACAGAGAGATTAATCGTATGATTTCAGAAAAGAGCCTACAGCACAAGGGGACCATGTGACCCCCAAGATCCTCAGTCCCCCCCCTCCAGATCCTATATAAGCTAAATGTTGCATTGTGACAGTGAGGATACATTCTGTGTACCCGTACATATTAGCTGTGTTTAAGGCATTAGTATGATTTAATTGTATTAACTATCTACCCGCCCGCTTTTTTGCTTTGGCTTAATTTAGTTTGGAGAAATACCTCATGGCATGGTACTCAGAGAACAAGTGGCTACAAATGATATAATTTTGACTGTGTCATTTCAGGGACTGGTATCTGAATGGAAATTACCTGGTAATCATTGTCAGTATCACTATTATCCTTCCTCTGGCCCTCATGAAACAACTTGGTAAGGTTTGCTTAAGTTCCTTAACTCTCATTTATGAGGATGACAAACAGTTTGACTACCCACTTAATGACTATGCAGTGAAAGATGGAATTAGCAGGAAAGGAGCATACATATTGCTAATATACATGAACAGGGACTTTTGTTTTGCCAAGCGTTTCTAAAAAGCATGTGAATCACCCCCAATACCCACATCCACTGAAATGCTCCTCTTTAGGTTATCTACTACTGAGGATTAAAGTATTATTTAGAACTGGACAATCTTGGACTTTACAAAAAGGAAAACTCAAAGCGCTATTCCTTGAGAGCAAAATACTTTCAGGAACACGTGCTTCAATAGAGGCTTTCTAACAGCTAGACCTCCTTATAGACAATAATAATGAAAGAAGGACCGAGAGAAAAAGAGAGGTAGAAATTTAGCACAACAGAGAAGCTTACAAATTACATTACAAATCCCTTGCAATGTTTTGTTTTCTCTTGTTCCAGGTTATCTTGGTTATACCAGTGGGTTTTCTCTCAGCTGCATGGTCTTCTTCCTTATTTCAGTGAGTTTGAACGATGATGCGTTATAAAATCTTTTTTTCTTTAACTCTGTGTAAGATTTATTTTTGATACAGAGCTGTTCACGTCTATTCAGAAGTTTGATCCATTAAGTTCAACATGATCTACTTGCAAAAAAAATGAGCATAAAGCTGAAATTTTAATTAGTGACTATAAGTAGTTCTCACTTAATAACAGGAATTGTAAGGTTGTAAAGCACAACTTTAGATGACTGTGCTGCTTAGCAACAGCAACAGTTCAGCACTTTTGGTTGCTGTTATTAAGTGAATCCTATGCTGACATTAAGGGTAATGTCACATGGTCACCATTTGTGACCTCCTGCCAACTTCTCCATTGACTTTGTTAAAAGCTGGCAACAAAGTTTGCATTTGGTGATCATGTGAACATAGGGTGCTGCAACATCATCCCTGTGAATTGGTTGCTATGCACCTGGATTACAATCACGTGAATATAGGGACACTGCCACAACTATGAGACCAGTCATTGACTACCACTAGTTCAGCACTATCATAACTACCGAATGAGTAGTTGTTAAGCAAGGATTACCTGTACATATATTTCTATCTTGCCCATATTTTAAGAGTGACAAATACATTTTCCTGCTTCCTTTATTCACATAGCAACTTGATGGGAAGGGTTAGATTAAGAAAGAGAAAGTTATTCTGAGCTTGAGTGCTCCACTGAAATTTTAATACAAGTCTTTTTTAATACAACAGTGCCGATGTTTTGGATTACAACTTTTAATCAGTCCCAACCTACGGTCAGAGATCTTTACGTGCATGTAATTATTTCTGCTAGATTCTATCTTCATCAAACCAGATGCATCGAAACTCTGAATCTGTTCCTAAATCTCTTTCCTTTTGGGTCATAAGGCAAAGGAGGAGGATTTTGCATTTCCTGCCATTGCTAAAATTGGATGGTGCTATTTTCTCAAGTGCAGACTGTCACAGTAAATAGCTTGCAAGCAATTTGCCTCCAGCCTTTGCAAGATGAATCACTACATTCTCACTGCCTTGTTAGAAACACTGATCTATTCCTGGGAGAAAAAGTGTTGTACCATTGTGAGGGACAACAGGAGAAAACAGGAAATAGTGCCAGAGCCCTCAGAAGGATAGCATGCGTACTAATAAAATACAATTTCAAAGTGCCTACCAATCTTAGGGAAGGGAGTATTTTTTTTACTCTTCTTCAAGCTATCGTATGTTTTCAAGTCAGAAGTGGTTCTTAGTTTAAAATCAGAGGTCCTTGGTGTTCTCTGAACTTGATTGTTTTCTTGCAGATGTTTCATTACCCAAATGAGGAAACATCATCATGACATCAATGATGTTGCCTAGTTTGGGTAATGAAACATCTGGAAGAAAACAACCAAGCTCGGAGAGCACCAAGGACCCTTTATTTCAATCCTGAGTTACAAATATTCTCCTTTATCAGTAATTTAAATCATGAACTACTGTATTGAAGACATTCATAGCTAATCAAATTGTAGCTTTTGTCCTGGATTATAATAAGGACAATCCCGAAGGGCTTGCTAGCTTGATTTTTTTTCTAACACTCCAGCCCTATAAATAATCGTAGTGTGATCTCTTGCAAAAAATAGTGGTAGTGCAATTATCACTGGAGCATTTGTGCTACTTACTTCTTGTTTTAAAAAGTTGCAATCTGCTGGCATTATGGTAAAATGTTTTTAGTAAGCTATATAAGTAAATCTCCTTTATGATATACATTGGTGACATGTCAGGCTGCCTAAGCTTAGCATGTTTTACAAGCTTCATGCTGGTGCAGGGTATGAACTTCCACTGTGATACCTCCCACCTAGAGATATTTAATTTACTTATTGCCTGATGCTTTAGGCAAGCTACTCAGTGGGGTTTGGTGTGGGTTAATGTTCTATCTTCCTGATTTTAATTTGTATTATTTTATCCTGTTTTTTATAACAGTGAATGAATTCAGTAACTGCTTTTTCAAAGTGCAATTTGAGTAGTTTTATTGTGTTTTATTGGCTTGTCTAGAACCTATTTTAAGTTTATTTTATAAAGAAAAGCACAGTATATTTTTTTTAAAAAAATAATAAGAATTACCAGAACTTACAAGCTTAGGCTGTATATTTGTGTTGCTATTTTTGTATTAAAAGATACATACATTATGATAATTCAAATCATGGGTTCTTCCTATGTTCTAGGCCAGGGGTACGCAACCTTGGCTCTTTTATGACTTTGGGAGTTGAAGTCCACAAATCATAACAGAGCCAAGGTTGCCTACCCGTTGTAGGCTAATACTCAGAGGAAGAACCAGGTTTCTAAGGCTCTATACAAACAGGTCAGGTCCATCCAAACCTTGGAGGGAAAATTGTTTCACAAGGCAGGTGCTGTGACAGAGAAGGTGAACTTTCTGGGTCCCAACAGAAGACACTGTTTCATAGTAGGAACCCAAAGCATGCTGCTGCTGTGCCAGATCTCATTGGACAAACAGAAATCTTTGAAGACAGGCAGTTCTGCAAATAACCTGACCCCATGCCATGAAGTACACTGATGCTTAAGGTCATCAATCACTGACTCCTACACAGACATTAGCCATTCCTTCCTCAGATAACACATAGCTATCCAATATAGCTGATTTCTTACCTAATGTTGAGTTCATCCAATGACAATATGATTAAAATATGTGAAGCAGGCAAATAAAGATCCTTGTATTGGTGACTGTGTATCATCAAGCAGATGAGAACTTATGAGGTTTTATTTCCTCCTCAGGTCATTTACAAAAAGTTCCAGATTCCTTGTCCACTTCCTGAGCGGATCAACCACACAGGCAACCTGAATTACACCTTGGCTGGCACAAGCAGCTATCAAAACGAACACACTACTGTGCAGGCTACAGAGGAAGACATTTGCTCTTCAAGTTTGTTCACGCTCAACTCTCAGGTCAGATCCATGATGAAGCCAGCAGTAATTAATATATCATTTATCAATCTAGGTGCCATCTAGATGTGTGAATTTTCAGCCAGCTGGTTGTAGGTGGGAGTATTGACCTAAATATCAGGAAGTGTCCAAATTAGAGAATAGTTATCAGACCCAGATAATTATATCAGTTGTTTACTGTATTATTGATGTTTTATTATTAAATGTTAATCGTTGTTCTAGAGCCAACATGATACAAATAGTTTAAACCAATCTTCTCCAGTCTGAGATTCTCCACATTACCAGGCTAACTGGGGCGGAGGTTATATTGATCTAAACTATGGAGCAGGAGTGGTGAAATGAGAAAGAAATTAATCGGTAGAAAGAATAGGAAGGCAAACAGGAAGCTTACAAAAGTAGAGAAACAGTTTTGAGCATAAAAACCATACAGCCAAAAAAAAAGGTAAGAGTGAGGAATGAAAGAGATGAAATATAAAATATGTAAAGGTATAAAGGGAAACTTGAAAAAAGCTCAGGACTGAAGTGGTATAACCATCCTTTAGTGAAGTGATCTCCAACCTTTCTGGCTTTGCGGGGGGGGGAGGGGATGGTTCCACATGAGTGGTGCATGAACTCACTTGCCTGATGTACGCACAAGTGGAGCTACAGTTGGGTGGGTGCTTGTCCGCCACTTTCATGGCCCAGTTCTGAACAAGCCACAAGCCAGTAGTGGGCCGCAACCCAGGTGTTGGGGCCCCCTGGTTTAGTGGTTACTGCTGTCTGATGGAAGTGAATGGAAGAATGGCCACAATAACACACCTAGATTGGGGCTCAGGGACCTGAGTTTCTGGGAGTCACACTTCTGTAAAAAATTGTCTCCACTTCTTCTATTCCCTGTTAATTTTTATTAACACTATTTTGGGGTGTGCAATCTCTTTGCCTGGGTATTGCTGAGACCTTTAAAAAGCATCACTCTCGCATGCAGAAGCTTCTCTGACATTTCCCCAACATCTCTTTTCTCTTTTAACTTTGCAGACAGCCTACACCATCCCTATCATGGCATTTGCTTTTGTGTGTCATCCTGAAGTCCTTCCTATCTACACTGAGTTGAAAAAGTGAGTATGTACATATGTTAATAATACCTCACTGAAGTAGTGTTGCAAGTGAACAAACAGAATGGGCATCAGATTACTGAATTTAGAGGATGAATATAAAGATGATGTTTTAAGACATCAGTTCTTTTTCTTTCCCATGCACGCACACATTTTTCTGCACATTGCCTACTGCAAATTCTGGACAGCTCCCTTCTGTGTCATAAGGAAAGACATGCAGCTCTAAGTACAAAAGGCCAAACTGGTGGGTTCTGTTCAGCAAATGTGTCTTTTCTGTTATTCCAGAAATGTTGATTCTCAGTAGGCAATAGGACAAATACCTGTTCAAAAATGCATAAGGGTCAAGCGGTGAACTTGTATTTTGTGGTCTGTTAGAATTGCACTGTTGAGAATCAGTGCTATGGTTTTCCACTAGAATTCCATAGCATGGGTAGTGCGACAGAGGTTCATTTTAATTTAAAAACCATTTAGTGTTTCTCGGGATTTTCATCAAATAGTGCCCTCTCGCCCCATGATAGACAGATGATATACATGCCATCCAAACTCCTTTGACCTGTCATGTAATATGATCTCGCAGGATGAATGTTCAGGGTTTTGGGGTTTTTTTTAAAATACAAAGTTGAAAGAAATTCAAATGATAATAATGCACTCTTTTAATAAATCAAAATAACTGCATGATTAATATAAGTTAAATCCTTCTCATTGAGATTTTGTATGTCTTTTAGCCCAACCAAGAAAAAGATGCAGTGTATCTCCAACATTTCCATCACAGTCATGTATGTTATGTACTTCCTGGCTGCCCTATTTGGTTATCTCACATTCTATGGTAAGTTCCTTTCCATTGCCCTAGGAGTACATGTATGTTCTGAGGACCACATCCAGCCCATCAAATATCCCTTTTGTAACTCCTAGAATTTGGTTCTTTTTAGTGTTTTGCAGGTGGGTGGGGGGTTGTGAGGTATATACTAAGCCTCTGAAATCCATCTCTTGCAAATTTTGGAATATGCCTACCAACATACTGTACAAAGATTTGGGTAGCCTTCAAGTGAACAGAAAGTATGTAATGTATCCCATGTTTTGTGCTTCCTAATTAAATGGAGCAAAGGCAGATACTGAGGGCTGAAAGTACTGTCTTTTTAAAGCTGTAGCCTTATCCCTTGAGGACTAACCATTGGAATGCAGTTGCAGGCAGTTACATGTTGTTTGGATGCTCAGCTCACTAATGAACTATGCTGTAAAGCACCAACAGTAGTGATGCTTTCACATTTCGCAAAGCTTGCGTTCTCAGCTGTGCTTTGGACTGGCCTGTCTCATGCATTTCATTAGAGAACCTCCGAAAAAGAATGCTGAATCCTTGCATTGTATCCTGCACAAAGACATAATAGTATATCAAGTTTCCCCTGTTGTGCAATATAATCACTTACATGTTCATTTGAGAAAACTGTAATTAGCATTTTACAAAGTTGTCCATGCCATCAGCCATATGATTGCAGCCTCCAGAAACAACAAACACCTCTACAGTCTTCATTTCTAAAAAAAAACAAAACAAAAAAACAGTTTGGAAGTGCTGTACAAAGAAAGTCCTTGTTCTATACTTAGCCTGATCAATGCTGCTATTCTGTTCTTGGCTGTCTCCTACAGGGCAGGTAGAATCAGAGCTGCTTCACACCTACAGCAGAGTAGACTCATTTGATGTGCTGATCTTATGTGTGCGAGTAGCCGTGTTGATTGCTGTGACACTAACGGTGCCCATTGTTCTCTTCCCGGTGAGTTCTGCTGTCAGAACTGACAGAAGGAGACTAATTTTGTGTTGTGTGTGTTTATGTGGTTTTTAAACTGGAATCTCAGTCTAATATCTAATTCCTATCTTGCATGAATTCTTGATATCTATTTTTTGCAATTGAAAAAGGAATAAATATCAAGACAGCCTAGGCTATAAACGGGGAAGGTCATTGTGGTTTTCAGTGGTGCCTTGGTTAATTGTTAATTGGTTTCGGGAGGCATGATGAGTACCAAAAACAATGAGTACCAAGCAATTTTTTCCCATAAGGAATAATGTAGTGAATCACAAGGCAGCCAACATCAACAAGTTCTAGCTTGTGTGTTGAGTACCAAACAAACAATGAGTACTGGGACAAAATTTTCACATCAAAATGTGTTGAGTACCAAATTCAATGAGTTTCAAAGCAATTGAGTACCAAGGTACCACTGGTGTTCAAAACTATAGCACCACTGTGATAGAGACAAGCAGGGGATAATAGCATGTAAGTTCTAAGCACTGGTAGACAATTAAGGAGGAGTTGTAGTCATAGCTGTCATAGTCCACCAAATTAGAAATGGGAACTGGAGTCAAAAATTAAGCCATTAGATCAGAAGTCTAGTCAATTGGGCAAAAAGATAAATTCAAGTAGCTGTGATGAAATGGTACAGGAATCAAGACAGACCTAAAATATGTACAGTGAAGAACTCTGCAATGTTTCTAAAAGGTGAATCTGACTACTTTTTCTTTCTTCAGGTGCGCCGTGCAATCCAGCAGATGCTTTTTCCAGACAAGGATTTCAGCTGGATTCGGCACATTATCATTGCTTTTGTGCTACTGTCATCTATTAATTTGCTTGTTATTTTTGCTCCCTCCATCTTGGGAATCTTTGGCTTAATTGGTAAGTCTTGCATTCCAGGAATCTTCTTTTTAAAAAACAGATACTTTTTCTTAAGGATTTTAACAGTACTAAAGGATAATACAAACTATTATAAAAAAAAATAGAAAAGAAATACAAAATGCAAAGAGCAAAAGAAGAGAGTAAGAAACAGAGTGACAGAAAAAAAAGGAAGGAAGAAAAAGGAAGGAAGGAAGGAAGGAAGGAAGGAAGGAAGGAAGGAAGGAAGGAAGGAAGGAAAGAAGGATATATAAGAAAGTTACTGATGTCAAACTGTTACCACTATGTAAAATGGATTCTGCATTTTGGCAAAATATCCACTCTGGATATTGTTTATGGATATAGATAAAATCATTTATATTTTGAAAAATGTTGCTGAAAAGTATTTCCAAATATAAGGGAGAGTCAAAGTTCTTTCATAAATAAACAAGCTCCTAACAATAGAAATTGCATCAGGACAATAATTATTCCATATTCCTTTGAGAACATCCATAGGATTCCTCAGTGTTCTGTTTTTCCAGGATCAAGGCCATCTTATTAAACCTGTTTGTTTGCCATGTAATTCCAAAGGGCTCTTCTTTGTTGTTTTTGCTCCTAGCCACTCATCAGTTGCCTCCCCCCCCTGCTGATTTTAAACTCAAACACTATCCTAGGAGGAAAATCAATAGTTAGTCTGGACTCTGCCAGGGATGAGGGGCAAGCCCCGAGGCCCCATTGTCAGAGCTTGTCGTGTTTTCCCCAAAATATATTAGTGAAGAAAAGCAAAGGGATGTCAGGGTATTTTCATTTTCTGAGGATCCTAAGTCTGTCTTCTGTTGGACTCTCCCAGGTGCCACCTCAGCTCCTTGCCTGATATTCATCTTTCCAGCAATATTCTACATCCGGATCATGCCCAAGGACAAAGAACCTATGAAATCCCTTCCAAAGATCCTGGTATGTAATCTCTAACAGTTTAGTTCGGCTACTTCAGTTATTCATGAAGAGTCCCAAGGATGGATTGCTGCATGAGACTGTCCGCTTTAGACAGTCCACCTGATAGTGAAACCTAGGCAGTAATTTCTTAGCAGGGGTAAGGAGAATGCGCCTTGCATGCCCTGCATATTATCTATGGAAGCTATCATAGTTTTGGGGTTTCAAACTGAATGCTTGGTTTATAATTATCATTATAAATATCAATATCATCATCATTTGTGCTATATGGGGATGTGCAATACCTTTGTTCAAAGAGAAAGACTGGTCTGGAACAGAACCATGATTTTCAAGGAAGGCACGAGTCTTTCCTCCCTAGTTGCAGTGCTACTCAGCCATAAAGGTTGCATGATTCATTTTTGGAGGGGGATGCTTTTACTTCCACATTTGGGGGGGTTCCTTTCTGCGAGTGACACTCTCTTTCTCTCCTGTCTCTTCTCCATGCAGGCAGCCCTCTTTGCATGCCTCGGGGTGCTCTTCATGATCATGAGCCTCAGCTTCATCATCATCGACTGGGTATTAGGTGGCATAAAGAGTGGAGGCAGCCACTAGGCAAAATCTGGAGCCCTGTGATGCGCAACGAAGCCTTGGGAAACTCAACTGGCTTGGATCCATTTCCTGCCCCTGCCCTGTGTTAGTACTGTATCATTCTTTCATCCCTGGTTACCTTCCGAGCCACGGGTGCTATTCCAGTATGAAATCCTCACACACTCACACTGAGCCAGAGGTGCTGCAGGCTGGACTAGACCAAAAGCCAATCTCCAGCTCTCTGGGCATTTGATTTTCTCTCAAAGTCTGGGATCGGCCAGGCTAACAGTAGTCTAATGAGCACATAAACTGGAAAAATGGCCCATTTCAAGGGAAAGAGAGGGGAGGCTGCTATGATATACAGTGTATCTTCAGTTCTAGATGACCAGTCCAGCTGGCCCACACTGAGGGGACTCAAAAGTCAGCAGGACCAGAAGAAAATGGAGCAACTGTGCTAACTAACTTGGATGTAGGGCTCTCACTTGATGCTCACTGCCGAATGGTTGACTTGGGCCAAATTTTATATTATATGAATATTTCACTGAGGCTACAGAATGAAAAGCGAAGGCTTTTTAAAGCTTGAAAAAAATATTATTTTCTTTTAAAAAAATCTTATTGGTCACAATCCCAACTCCAACCACAGATCCTTAATCCTCCTCAAATGTCACTTGCCAGGCCTGACTTTTTTTCCTCTCCTTTACACTGGTTCATTTTCCTTGTCTGCCCTCTGCAATGAACTCCTTGCCACGTTTTAGATAGGACTGTAGGACTTAGAATGGGAGATAGGTTAATGTGGGACATATTGGGAAACTACAGGCCTTCTGAACTACCAGTTGTGATGGGATGAAGATTTGCACTAGTTTCCAAGGATCCATTTACCTGTTCTGAATTATCCTGAGGTAGATGAAAAAGAGAAGAGATGATGGCACTGGAAATTGGGCAATATAGCTCTCTCTTCTTACACGGAATTGAGCTTTAGAGTGGATCGGAGATGGTCCTTCTGTTCATGTCTTCAAAACCTTAATTCTGTCTGTTTGTTCCACTTAGAAGCAATAATCACAGTTTTAAGATTCTATGTTAATTGGACTCACATGTTAAAAAATTATTCATCACTTGATGCTACATAAATTGACTATGCTGGCTGGGGAATTCTGGGAGTTGCAATCCTAGAACTTTTAGATGACATCATATATGGGAAGGCTCCATCCATCATTTCAGGATCCATCCATCATTTAAAACATGAAATTTTAAGACCTTGAATAGGAAAATATATTTCATCTGAACAATGGATGATATATAGCAGGGATGTCAAACTCGCAATGTCATGTGACGTGTCATGACATGTCGTGACTTTTTTTCCATTGCCAGCAATGGGGTGGATGCGGTTTCGCCATGACGCATCCAGCCAACGGGCTGGCAGTTTGACACCCCTGATATATAGCAAGCAGGATTTTATGGAGCTAAGATGATTTTAGAATGTACAAACTGTGGAAAACTTTAATGAAAAACATAGTAATCAAAACTGATAATAACATTCCAAGACTGGAAAATTCAATTTTTCCTCTCTGTTTTTAATACCTGTTTTACATTGTACCTAGAGCCTAGTCCTTGCAACAAAAATGCAATAGGTTCTGTCTGAGAAAATGGAAGGCTAGTTGTAGTGTTGCATCAGTAACGTGTGCAAATATTTTGAAGCTTTAGGGGTACTTTGATGGTTCCCAGGTATAAACAGTCATCTCTAGTCTGAATGTATATTATATTTAGTACTTAGCCCTAATATATAATCCTTATTATGCAACAAGAAGCTGATAATGATATTTGCAAAATTGTCCTACTTTTCTGTCATAATCCTGAAGAACATTTTTCATCTTTCAACATTCATCAAACAAAAGCAGCTTCTCTGGTTTTATAGGAAGCAATGAAGTACTCATTAACAATATACTAAGCAAACGAAACGGAATACATTTCTTCCCTGTTGCCCTATAGCTAGCACTTTAAATCGAACTGTGTTCAAGATTTTAAAGATGCACTTTCTGCCTCGGATTACAAAAACATGCTTTTTGTGTTGTACAAATCCAATTGCACCATGCAGAATATTTCAGAACGTAGTAAGTAGCAGCACTTTTTCCCCGAATATTGATCTATATTGGATCAAGAAACCCAGCATTCCTGCACCACATTTTCAAAATGTAAGGGCTCTCCTATAGTGTACCCCATTGATTGAATAGGTATCTCAGAGCAGTTGGCTTTAGCTTTCCATTCCATGTCGGATGTTCAGATATGCTGCTAAACTTAACCAAATAGCTGTGTTTCTGGGAATGGAATCTCAGACCGAAACAAGGTGCCTGAAGGAATGCCTGTTTGAGATGGGAAACACTGGACCTCTTGTGTTAGAGCACTTTGGCACTGACAGGGCTGTAGCTTTCTTCGGCTATTATCCAAACACAGCAGCACTTCATGTAGGCCCTATATGGGGAACAGCACCAAAATCCCTCACTTTCTATGCACATCCACTTTCTGTGCACTTTCAGCAATAATGTTTCTGCCATCCCTGGAATAAGTGGGACAGGATTGCAGGGTGGGGGATAACTATGTGTCACAAAACTGTGTTGGAATGTAGCATTCACTCAGTTAATGTGACACACTGAAGTGGCTTATCAGTTCTAGCATCACAGCACATAAAAGGCACTACTTGAAGCTTTACTGCCCTCTGCCGTAGCTTGTGACTCTTGCAGCTTCCAATAATTTGCACCTTGAAAAGCTACTGACTTTATTATTCTTTTTTTTTCATAGTCTCAAAGACAGTTTCATACACAAAAATGTTCCAAAATGAGATACATTGCAAACTGAACTTGAGGGACATAACTAAGCAAGTCAAATCTTCAGAATAAATGAGTGTTGGTATTTACACTCTGAAATCCTGGTCTAAGTCCAGCTGAAGACATGGACAACAATTCTTCCCTGCTCCTGCCCTCGCATTAGCAAATTCCCAAAGTCCAATTGTTCTTAATGACATTTGAATAGTGGAGTGTTTATTTCCACACTGAAGCTGGTGCAGCAAGATCTGCACTAAATACTAAACCTCTTCTGTATTATTTCCATGTAACAAACAAAAAGAAAAACAAAAATAAGTAGGTGAATTACATCTGTGATCCTAAACAAATAGATTTCCTTTAAATAGCTGGAACTCATTTCCAGGTGACTGTCCAAGAATGTGGTCTGAAGAGAAGAACAAAAAATAATCCCGATATTCATCCAGACTGTGGAGTTCTGAAGTCATATAGCTCAATCTCAGTCATATTTTACTTCTTCCCACTATGTTTATCATCTTCAACCTTCCGTCCCACCTTACAAAAAACATTTTTAAAAAGCCTCATTTATATATTACATCCTATGAATTTTATGGTTGGATTGTTGTTTAAACTAATTTTTATGTCAATCAATAATTATTTCTATAGATTAATAACTATAATGCACATAATAAGAAACATGTATTTTTGTATTGGGGTGGTGGCTGGTCAATTTGCTTTTTTATAAATAATGTATATAAGAGTAGATCTTTTTTAATGTATTTGTTGTTGTGCTCACTAACTCTGTATAGTGTACATATGTTATGTCCTCATTAAAGAGGGTTTGGATCCCAGAATTCTTATCTGAGCTATAGAGAAAACATACTGCCAGGTGTGAAACTCATAGTAGTAGGGGCTGTTTCTAAAACTTGGTGTCCAGTTGCAAGAGCCTTGATGAGAGAAGACTACATCTGCAGTTACAAACATTTGGCTTAAGTTATTTTATATGACCTGCTTATTAACCCAAACATGATGGAAGTCAGCTTGAATCTTCTGGCTGATTTCTGATATTGATGAAGAATAACAGAATATATACAATTTAGCTGCATTGCCTTATGTAACTGTTGTCCCGCAGAAGCATCGTGTGATGGATGCTTCTCAGACCAGAAGAGGGGGTGAGATGGGGAAACTTGAGGTAGAGACAAAGTAAATCCACCTTAATTATGCTTGGTGTAAATAGAACTGGGGAATTGTTTTAGTGAGTTTTCAAGATTAATGTTGAGCCCTGCAAGATAAGCAAACTCTGAAAACAACAGCTTCAGTTTTTGGAAAAATCTTTATTAGTAGGATGAAGTAAAGAATCTTGAAAGTCTGAAAATTATAAGGGAGGAGCAAAATAAATGTTACAGCCCAATGGCTTAATTTCCAAGGGACCATTCTTGTGGCATGCTAGGTTCTCCTAAAAGGTTACTAGTTACTTATTAGTCCCTGTTGCCAACTGACAATTTGTTTAACCTCTTCAGGTCATTCTCAATGTGAGGCAACATTAACTGTCTTTTATGTATTTTAATATTTATTTATTTTCTTTAACTTAGACTGGAGCTAGAGATCAGGTTCCAATGTTTGTTTGCAACCAGACAAAGATTGGTTGTTTGGGATATCTGTACTGATTAAGGGCCAAAAGGTCCACTGTTATCAGCAGAATGACTGGGTAGAAATGGAAGAGAAAATAAAATAAAATGAAGGGTTGCACTGGCTGATGCAAACAATCATGCAGAATCTCAAGGGCTTTTTCTCCTTTCTTTTCTTTTCCAAACCCACAGAGGTTTCAGAAGGGGTAGCCTATCTGCCCTTCTAGTGTGCAAACAGTAAGCAAGTTGTGCTGCCTAGCTCAACGTAGATTAAACATCAGTATCTCAGTCTCTGTGTGCATTGCACAATATGCTTAAACGGATGAATTAAAGATTTAATGGCATAGTATATAGCTTGGTTAGCATTAACCTTGGGCTTTTGGTTTCTGTGACTTGAGTGTTCTGCAAATCCAGCCAATTGGTTCAGAGTAGTGTTCAATACCCTGAAAAATAGTTAATTCAATAACCAGATACAGCATTTGGTATGAATACGACTTATGTGTCATAAGATATACAACACAGAAATGTACTTCTGAAGAAAAAGGACAAAACCTTTCTTTAGGTCTTTCCCCCAGAGATGATGCAGGCATGACATCTCTGTATCCCTGTATCCCTGTTCCTTTTGTCTCTGTGT